AAGTTTTTAAAAAAAGCAAGATCAGATTCGTGATCAACAACACACGATAAATCCAACTATATGTATTTAAATGAAAAATAAAACCTGTGGAAATTTTGAATTACGCGCACCTTACCTGTATATCAAATTCCATACACATCGAATATGAAGTATAGTCATTTTACTTTGTATTGATTATGAAATTTATTTTCCACTGATTTTATTTATAGAAATAAATGCGTGAGGAAACAATGTACTGTATGAAAGAAAGAAACAAAAACTATATTAGATTGGAAAATGAAGAAAACAAAACATCCAGTCATAAAATAATAAATATACTATGTAATATCCCAGAAGCAAAAATATTCTCTTGTATATAAATTGCATCTAAATTGACAAACGAATTTGATAAACTACATGAGCTCTAACAAAAATTATAGTATATAACGGTTTTTAATATTCTTTCTTGCTCTAAAAAATTTCTTGATCTTGAACTTTTTATGATTTCAATATAGACTTGTTTTTATGCTTTATTTAAATATCAAGTGCATGAAACCATTCGTAACAAAATTTAGTATATTCTTCTGTATCAAAATGTCCATTGAAAAAATTACAGGAAATATTCAATTCCAGTAGCATTAACTGGTTATCTTCATTTGTCCATGCAACATCCCAACCAATAATTGGAACATTCGGACATAGTTTTTCATGTGCTTGACAAACACATTGAATCATTTCATTTACATTTGGCCATTTAATCCCTTCAATTCGTTCGTGAGAATCAGGATGAACAGAATAATTCTGTTCGTTCCACATTGATTTCGTATCAAAGGATTTAAAACCCGGTTGATACCAGTGACGATTAGTTGTTCCACTCGATAAACGATGTGAAGAATTAAAATCAATATCATAAAAAATTGCATTATGATCAGTTTTTTGTCGAATACGACCAGCACGAAAAACCATTGTTTTTACTTTAATTGATGATGATGATGAATCACGTGAAGTTATTATACGAACTGTCGAAAGTGGCGCATCCGATGTTACAAGACGTTGAATAAAATCACTATTTGAAAATACTTTTTGAATTATCCAATCCCCGTGATTTCTTAAAATAATTTTAGTTTATATTTAGTTTTGCAAGTTTCATTGTTGTTTTCAAACTCACGTAGCAAAATTATCATAAATATTAATTCCCATCCCACCTTCGATTGATTTATGTTTAATCATAATACGCGGAACATCGAATATTGGTGTGACGGGTATATTTAATTTGTTTCCTTCAATCAAAAATCGACCTTTGTCTTCCATTGCATATTGTTCTTTGGTTTGTTCCCATTTTTTATATGAATGATAAGTAACAATAGTGCAATTAATACGCCATGTGGCAAACCAATGATTCGGTCTTAATAATTGTTCATAAAAATGTTCATGAACAGTTTTTTTTCTTGAATCATGAAATGATAAATAAATAGAACCAATAAATGCCCATAGTGGATAAATAAATATTAAAAAAAATAAGCAAACATATTTATTTAAACAAAATATTGAAAGTGGAATGCCAGTAAATGGTACAATAACATTACGTAAATTAGCTCGTAAATCATCACCATAACATTTTGCTCGATAATGTGGAAGAGAAAATAGACGAATTACCAAAACAAGTGAATATATATGAATTAATATACGACGATCAATTTCAGTACTAGAATATGTATCAATGCCGTTTCCAGAACATAAATAATAATAAAATAGACGATAATACAGTAGAAGCGTTTGTACAGTCGACATATTTCGATTTCGACTGCTTGATTTTTTAAGTAATGCATATATTGCCGTCATTGTAAGAACGAAAAAAAAACACGTAACGTCCAATAATATATTAGTCTAAGATCGGGAGTCATGCATCGTCATTGTCGTGATGTAAGGATGGAGGAAAAAAACATTTATGGTTCCATTGAAACATACTTTGGACAATGATTTTATTTTAATATTGTTATCCATTCTATGCACTTAAAATATGATGCACTTTTATCAATAAATATACTAGTCTATTATCAGTCAGTATGTTTTTGTCAAAATACTTTTTGTTTTTCTTTGATTTTTATCTTGGCATTTTATTTTATATCTTGAAGTATTAAATACAAAAAAAGTAGCTTCATTACACTCGTAGTGTTTTTTTTATCTATCGTTATATAGCGAATAGAAACCGAGACAATTTTTCGTTGTGTCATAAACAGCAATGTCAAGGGGTTATCTATTTGGATCATAAGAATTGATCGTTTTTCTTGGGTTTAATTTATTTTATATTAATAAGAAACATAACAAACGCCATTACTTTGTTTAGTATCTTTCTGTAAATAAGTAGGAACAAACTTTTGATCAACTATATTCTGTTTTGTGTAATTAGCGAATTATTTTAAACTACGTAAAAAATGTTTTCAATTTAAATACAGCTAATCACTGGTTATCACAATTAATTATTACTCAATGAATAGTACAATATCAATTATAATCTACGAATAAAATATGAGATTTATAAAAGTAATCATTCTAATATTGTCAAACTATCATTTACTACTCGTATGTACGATGAATTCTATTTGCAACAATGCCAATCTTATTTAGCTGTGTATTTCAACAATTTGTTGATTCTCATTTATGATAGAATAGCAAGATAGCTACTGCTTTTTTTAGCTTTACTTGGCATCTTGATAATTGAATTCGATTTGATATAAAGGCACGTTTTTTCTTCTTCCGCTAACATCAGGATAGTTTGTCTCGTTAATTATTAAAAAACGTTTTTTCTTTCCTTCTACTAAAATTTTATTTTCTGTAGTTATATTCACTGTTGATATGTATATACAGTGAAGCGCAAAAGCATTTGCTGTTGCACCTACGCATTTTTTTGGGTCACATATGTGAAGCGCATGAACGAATTTTTCTGAAACTCTTACCAACAATCAAGGATGTGCTATAGATTTTAATTAGAGTGGGACTCTTCAAAAACTGTCACTCAATAGAGCGAGATACATCATGATTCGAGTGTCTACCGCTTGTCTAGAGTATCAAACAGTCATCTTACACTACTACGACTAGGGCAATCGTAGCGCTACGAAAATCGTCTTCTTAAAGAAGCTCTACGACCATAGTATCTAACGAAATACAAATGAGGTCCAATGACACGGCATTGTAAAAACAAACGGAGGATCACGATCTGTAGAATTACCAGAAAAAATGGCACTTGGACCAGATTTTTACGCTATTTCGGCAATGACTTGTCTGACCGACTTGAAATTTTCATAGTAGACAGACATCGACTAGTAGATAAAATTTTGTCCCAAGTGAACAAATTCTGAAAATCCATCTTCAGCGTCAAATAGAGGTCAAGTTTTCAGAAGGTGGTGTTGCATTTTTTTTCCCGGTTGAAAAATTAAGAAGACATCGTATCGAGCTAAAGCTTAGACTATTGGATCTTGAACCAAAAGAAGGTTCATAGCTTCTTTCACTCTTCTCCAAGCACAGCTTTTAGGCTAGAACACAATCCATGTACATAGGCAAAACGATCCTAAGCTATTTGAGTGTATCGATGAAGCTATAGTGTTTACTGTTTTTTTTGGTTGAAGGGAAAAAGAGCTAACTATTGATTATTATATTTGTGTACTCTTGTGTATGCATAATCTATTTAAAAAAAAGAAAACTTTTAATATGCATCATGTTCAGTAGAGTAACTTTATCAAATACTAACGGCAATTATTTTTGCACTCCACTGTATATATACATATATATTACTTTCTTTGATTTTTTCCTACATAGGACGTACTGCCCGAGAGAAAATAAATCTAGATGCAATTAGTCTTTTTCCGGTTTATACTCACAAAGTTTAACATTGATTTACATGAGTAGGTAGAGAAATATAGAAAATCAACTTTTCTATTTCCTCTTACGAAAGAAAATCAATCGTTTTCCAATATATTGACTTTGAACATTTTTAATAATAGTTTCATTCATGGATACTTTAATTTAATTGTAAAGTCACATTTTCTTCTCTTTAAAATTTCTCCATTGCAGGATTGAATTTTATATATTTAACTATAGAAACATGAACGATCTTGGAAAAATGACCATGATAAAGTATTTGTGTTACAGTCGATATTTTAAATCTTTTATTTCTTCTATTGTTCTTATTTGATCATTGAGAAATATTAATTAGCTAGTTATTTTTTATTCGAAAAATTAAATCAGCTTTTCGTTTTCTTTTACATTCATATTTTTCTTCTCTTCGCTCTACTATGTTTTTTTAGTTTGCTTTGTATCGAACTTGTTCACATTCATATGAGTTTGTTCATAATTAATAAACGCAAGTATTTATACTTGTTTGCTAGTTTTCTCATGTGTAAAGTATTTTAAAATAAAAATCTATCAGTGATAATGCTGTTTTTTTACTTTATTTGTAAAAAGACTTTAGCTGTAGAAATGAATAAAGACAATTTTTATTGAACGGATCGAGGATAGAAAGTGACAGAATACAGATGAAGATTGCAGAGCAATGACAATAAACAACGAACATGATGTCGAGTAAAAGAAGAGTCATAAAATCAAATTTTCCAGTGTGAAATATTTTGACATTTTATTGTTAAATACATTTTTCTCTTATGTTTAATATGATATATTTAATCTTTAGAATATGAAAAGTAGGCATTTTTTGAAGACTCATTGTTTATCGAGTCAATTTTACAACCGTTTAGTATCATATATTCGTCAACCATTTAGTTCATAATATATTTCTTTCTTTCTGATTCTGTTTCTTAAGGGTCTGTCAATATTGAAGATGGTAATGAATCAACGAACGTGAGCATTTGTGTATGATTAATAATTTATATTCATGATTTTCATCATCAGAGTGTATATAATGTAAATTATAGTAATGCGTTTTTTTTTCTCAAAAAAAGAAAGTAAAACTTTGTCTTATTGCTTAGGTTAACCTCCCATTCTAGATATCATATTCAAGTTGATAAAAAATGATTCCATTAATCTTAATTCTTATAATGGCAGTACTTCTTCTCTCATTAGTGGTCATTTATGCTTTAATCTATTTTCGAGAAAATAAAAAATTATCATCAATTTATGAAAATCAAAGATTAGTATATTCAACTCAACCATGTATCAATATGGCAACAGAAAAGTTAAAATATCCATCGAACAGTTCAAATGGTCATCATTCATCAAATGTAGATTTAAAAAAGGCAAAATTCGATGAATCACGTTCACATAGTGTTGCAAGTAATTTATTTATAACAAAATGTTCAAATAGAAGACGAAGTTCAATTATTGATTCAAAACAAATAGCACAAATTCAATTTTCACTGCCACCAACGGCTGAAAAAATTCGTCGTCGATCTGTTGCTATTTGTAATAATATAATTGATTCGAAACAAACTACAATCGATTCAATAATACAAACAATAAATCATCAGATCAATTTTTACCATGTCTTGTATCATTTTCAATGGTTTATGATCATGAATCTTCACAAATAAAAATTAATTTTCATTCTTTGAGATCATTACCATCAATGGTTGAACTGCAACAATTAACTGTTCAAGCTAAATTAATTCCTGATGGAAAAACTGAACGTTTTTCAATAAAAAACATAATTCATAATGAAAATATTTTTTCGCAAGATAATGATGAATATGTTATTGTGTTTTCAAATATTTCACTCACAAAAATTCATGCAAAAGCAATTATAATGAAATTTTATGGAAAAGATACAAACAAGAAAACGATTCAACTTGGGCAAATCGGAAAAATTCATTGCAATCAAATACATAATCTTGAACATGGAAGTTCAATTAATTTTATACATGAACTTGAAATAATCAAAATAGTAAAAACAAAAAATAAAACTTTTAAATACAGATTTATGATCATTAATAATTTTTTTCAGTTGCCAATCGAAATACTTGTTTTACTTGAACAAAACATAGATCATTATCTAACGGTTGAGATACAATGGATGCGAGGATTAAAAATTGATCAAAAAAATGCTGGTTAGTATCTAGAATTAAAATATGTTTTTATAAACAAAACATGAATATTTTAGCGACTACTTGTTTTTTTCGAGTAATTCTGCTCGATCGTCATCGGTCATTATCAACTCATCAAACGAAATCTTATCGATTAAATTCTTCGACAGTTTTGCTTAATGAATCATTTGCTTTGAATATTTTAGCTTTTAATTCAAATAATCTTGATCGTATAATGATTATGATTAATTTATATTCTAATGCAAATAATGCGACTGAGCATCGATGTATAGCTCGAGTTAAACTGGCTTCACCGTATTTTTGTTCCGGTACTGGTACACTTCATTGGCAACAATTTAAACAACATCACTCACTTTCGATGTGGCATAAATTGGTCAAAAAATAAGAAGAAAAGAAGAAGAAGAAGAAGAACATCTTTATAGTTTAAAAATGAAAAATGAAAAATAAATCGTGATAAGATCCAGTTTGCATTTAATAATACATTTGTTGAAAAACTCGACTTTTCCAAAATACATGAAGCATTTTTCACCAAATATATATATATATATATATACATCAATAACAACATTTTGAATGAAAATTTCTCTCATGAAATATTGCATAAAAAAGTCAACACATGTTTTAGTGATTTGTATATTTATGAAAATTGTCTGAAATGAATTTTTCTATTCCGATAGAACATTGTAGTTAGAAGAAACAAGACTATAAAATTTAATAGTTTGATTTCAACAGGAACGACGTTGTTTGTTTATTGAAATAGACTATAAAAATAAAAGAAGTGTAATATAATAGAGAAAATATTTTAATTTATTTTGTATACTTTAGACAAAAGTTTAACTTGTCTCTCTACTAATAATAGTTAGGAAAATCAAAGCTTTACACTAAAATTAGCTGTAGGAAATTTTTATTTTGTTATCATAAACAATGTTTAATATGGATGTTATAATAGCAAAACTTATTCAGCAAAAATTTTAAAAGTCTATATACACTAAACTTCAAAGATATACTTTATTTGTATATCGACACTTTCATCGTGTAAACAACAAACCGTAGGTGAACTTTGTCTTTTCATAGTCTGGACATGCACAGCCCTCAAGATTTGTCCATAGCGATTGACTTCCTTACTGCAGAAGTGCAGGAAACTGATGCGCTTGAGCAAGATGGTTTCACTAGGAAATGCAATAAAAAAATGTAAAAAAAAGAATTATATTGGTGTCTGTCAACGAGTAAAATAACTAGAAAACAGATAAGAGAAGATCTTGACATTGTTGCATGAGGAAAGAATCTTTTTTCTGAATCTAAAAGCTTTATAATAGATTGAGTAACAAGCAAAAGGACGAAATACAGAAAGATTCTTAACAATAAACCAAGTCCATTGATACCAAAGTATTTTGTTTTATATCAGAATAAACAAAGATTAGAGATTTCGATGGATTTCATGCTGAAAAAAAATAGCTATAGTGATTCGTCAAATTATACTTCACAAATACATTACAATATTTCCTCTCATTTATCAGTCTACTGTTTCCGATTGTCTTGTAAAAACTATACTATTTATATTTATAAGAATTTTTCATTAAATAGAAGTAAATTGTAGATTGAGATATTTTGAAAGTTAGTCATATTTATGTATTAATCTTACTCAAAATAAAAGTATATTAAAATATCGTCCGATGATACCATTTAAATCAATCAAAAAAAAAACAATATAAGAAATACACAGCGAAAAGAAAAAATGGTAGATTAAAAACGTTGCTCTTCTATCAATATGTAATATACATGCAACCTGACACATGAAGACGAGATAAAATGTTGCAGAATAGAAAAGAGGTAAAACAAAAGTTTCGAATGTTTAAAGTCATACTTCTTTTTTTTTGTCTAAATAAATGATGTCTTCTTTGTCGGAAAAATTACCACCAGGTTTTGTCTATTTACATGAAATCATACCTGACATTCAAGTTAGTTTACGGTATGCAACTGAAGAAAATTTCGTAGGATGTATTGTTAATGGTTACTACACAAATGTATCGATTATGACAGAAACAGCTGCATTAGCTTTAAAACAAGCACAACAATTGGCTAAGGAACATGGTTATCAATTAGTTATTTATGATAGTTATCGTCCACAGAAAAGTGTTGATCACTTTATTAAGTGGAGTGAAGATCCGAATGATTCTCAAATAAAAAAAGATCACTATTATCCTCGTATCAATAAAGAAGATGCATTTGATTTGGGATATATTGCTAAAAAATCTGGCCATACAAGAGGAAGTACAATTGATTTAACTCTAATTCAAATTGGAAAATGTTTATTAAATCCTTTAGTACCAATAAAAAGAGTTCTAAACGATAATTCAACTATTTTATTTTTAGACGATGGAACTGTTGATATGGGTTCCTCATTTGATTTACTTGATGAAGCATCGCATACAAATAGTACACTTGTTAATAAAGATCATCAACAAATGAGAATGTTGTTCAAAGATTTAATGGAAAAAGTTGGCTTTATTAATTATGAAAGAGAATGGTGGCATTATACACTTAAAAATGAACCATTTCCAGATAGCTATTTTAATTTTGATGTGAAATCATCTTATTTACCATCTTAAAATAATTTTCACATGATTTAAATCATACTAATGAACTTTTGTTTCACTTAATCAATACTATTTGATATCTGCATTTTTTATTTTTGCATAATTCAATTGATAGAAGTTCAATTCAATCAAAAACAATACCATCTATTCAAAAGACATGCTTTAACATTTAATTCGTTCCATCTACCGGTACCTTCTGTTTTCTGTAACTTTATCTATCTCTTTTTTCTTTTTTCTTCATCACTGATGCTTTCTCGCCCTCACCATTATTTCGTACTGTTAGGACCTATACGGCCACCAGTGATTTTGCTAATAAAAAAAAGCATTTAATTATTGAAATTCTTTCAGTTGAATAATATACAACTATTCTGCTTTACAAATCAGTCAACAATAAACAGACATTGACAACCAAAATAACTCGCAAAAAATGTTACTTTTAAATTCAATGAATCATGGAATACTTCTGATTATGTCTTATCTGGAACATTTATTTTTCAAGGTAATTCAATTCTGATTCAGAATTTGAAAAAAAATTGTAAACGAGTGTGGCATGAAATTTGCAACAGATTAGAAAACTGGCAAAATATTATTTATAGAGAATATTATTCATGATCGTTCAACTGGAAGCTGTCTGCTCGTAGAGAAATTCACGTCTCCTTTTATTTGCAACTCTACATATTTATAATATAGACTAGTTTTGAAAAAGTGAAGCCAAAAGATTTTAGAAGAATTGAATACAGATTTTCCGGATTTTCAAAAGTTCAAAAAGAATGCTAACTTCATTTTATAAGATTTATCTATTCCTAGCCCTAAAATTAGGTATAAATTAGTGTAATTAAATGAATTGAATCGATTTATGATTTGTTAGTAAATTGATTGATTAAAAAAGTCTGCTTTTCTAAACTTTGACACATTATTGTTCCGAACCGCTCTTCTATCGCACGGAATATTTTAGAAATATTTATTTATCACTAATTTATGTAGCACATCTTATAAAGATATAATTGATATTTAATCTCTGGTATACTTAAATTACTCTAATGAAAAAAACACAAAGATAGTCAGTCATTTTTCAATTTTAAGTTAAGGTGTTATTCTGATCTGAAAGTTTACTACCGAGTTAATTTATTAAATTCACATCATAAGTATGGATCGTGATAGATACGCAACATCATACGTTGTAACTTACATCAAGATATAGACGGGTTGAGAACAAACAAAACTAATAATAGGTGTTTTTAAAAACTTGTTTTTCTTAACGAAGTGCATGATTAGACGAGTGAGTTGTTTCTTTCTCTGTTGTAGCAAGCACAAGCCGAAAGTAATTTCGTTGCAAAATGCCAGAACAATGCATTATTCGATTTAATGCTACAGTTTTACTGCTGATTGATGGATTTGGAAAATAGAAGATGATTCATGTTCGTTCAGTTCAAAAAGTTACTGCTGATTTATTCTCCTATAATGAATATTAGGTTTTCAATAAGGATACTAAAATATATTTATCAAGTCTTAAAGATGTCACTAAACGACGAATATGATTTTTTGCTTCAAAATCTTTTTCAGCTGAAATTGAAGTTCATCGAAATCAATGATCTACCTTTGTAACATAATAGACAATACTTATAGCGAAGAGAATCTAATAATAATTTTAATTCGTTCAAATATTTCCATATAATTCATGCGTCATTATAATCCAATCAAATTTGATCTGTCATCATCCATCCAACTTACAATCAAATCAAATCTTAAACTAGGAACTTCTTAGTAAGAAGTTATTGTTTAATTGCTTTTAGTGACGATTCGTAATCAAAATAATGCAACGCCGAAGTGTTCAACGTGCAGATCCACGTTATAAACAATTGCGCACACGAAATAATAATAGCGTTAAAAAATCGCGTGCAAAATCGCGTCGTGAACACGAAGAAACTATGGAATCGATTGATCAATTAGAACAAGATAATACAAAATTACACAAGAACTTAGAAACATTAAAACAAGAATATGATCAATTACGAGATTTATTTAAACAACATACTGGAATCGACATCGATCAAATGCAATCAAATGAAACAAGAACAACATCGGAATCAACAATATCATCAACTCAATCAAGAGAAGAACCGAAAGAAATTGCAGCAAAACCAATATTAACAATTAATACAACTGATGATACAAACTCATCAAGTAGCCAACTAGATGCCAGTAGTCTAGATGGATCAGTGGTTATTATCAATGGAGTTCAATACAAAATTGTAAGCATTGAAAAAAATTAAGATTCTCTTCAGAATTCTTTATTTTTGTGTGCAGAAGCCAATAATTTATTTTCCGTTTTTTACTGTTTATTGTATATAGAGCGTTATAAAGATTTCACATTTGAAAAATAAAGGTTTTATTGCTTGTAACAATGATATCGAACTGAATATGTAAATATTAATCGTTTTATTGACGAAGAATGTTGAAAAGTTGTTCTTTGAAAAATATTGAAAAATCCAAAGATGACTAGATCGAAAATGTGTAAAGTTGAAGATTCTGAATGCTGTCTTCATGGTTCCCGATTACTTTTGGAAGTGAGGGGGGCTAAGTTTTGGCAGAAACTGTATTTTTTTTGGCAGACAGTATACGTCAAAAAGCAAATCCTTGATTTATAATATCATCATCTAACTTAGATGATCTAAGTTCATTTTAATTAAAAATAAGTAAAAACAACATATGTATAAAAAGTAATATTTAAAAAAGTTTTTCAAAACTCATCATCTTTCTGTTTCAATTGATCAGATTCAAGAA